CATAGAGCACCTCTCACCAGTCCCAACGTGCTAGACCAAAAAAAAAAATACAAAATAGATAATGGCAAACAAAAGAAAAGCTAGAACAGTCTGGTAAGTCCAGAAAAGTATAACACTTCACTACAGCCTTTAAATCCGGGAAAAGACAACACTTACCATATCCCGTGTTTTAGCGCCACCGTGACATGTGCAGAGGCCTGTTGAATCGTGTTATTTGGGTTTTATGTTATTCTACCTGCTTTGTTGTCATATAAATATATGTGACTGGTTCTTGTGAGTTTGTTCTTGTCATTGTGTTAATTACGTTGATTTTGACTATATGCATTGTCCGTTAATGAGGCAGCATCCCATCATGCTGTGTCATAATGAGGTTATTAGGAGGTGGTTCAACTGTAGTAGGACAGCACTGAAGGCCCAGGTATGAAATACACGGCTCGCCACTGGAGAGCACTTTTAACTCATGGTCATGAAGAATACACACCACATCAGTGCAGTCACGTAAAGCTTCCAGTAAGTTGGAAGTTTTAGAGTTGCGCTAGTTTCCCCTTTTCATATCAACTCATTCCCTCCGAGCTGTAGTTGTTACCTCTTTCTCTCTGAACCGTCGACAAAGGAAAGTGTCTAAAAGTTCCAAACTGACGACTAAATGAAAAGTAGTCTTCAGAGTTCTTACATACTCTCTCTCCTCCTCCTCACTGACATTACACCTCCCAGATGATCCAGTGGGGAGCTTCCACATTGTAATATCTCTCGAAGACTTGTAACGTCTCCTACAAAATCCTCAGAGACTTTTCTTTTCTGGGTTACTGAATTAATTCTTTCATATTTCCTTCCTTCTTTTTTTCTTTAGCCTACAAGCCCCAAGTTTGGAAAGGCTGATTCCTATGAGAAGCTGGAGAAACTGGGAGAGGGTTCATATGCTACAGTTTACAAAGGAAAGAGCAAGTAAGTAGAGTGTGCATGTCCAATCATGCCTTCTCCTCTCTTTTTTATAGTTCATAACTCATGCAGGCAGTGAATATTCCATTATATTATACAGGAGCAGTGCTGCAACTGAGTGAATTCATTAAATATAACAGCAATAACAGTTACACTGTGTAGTTTTTATGTAAATAATTTGTCTCCTGTCTGTAGAGCTGCAAATCCCGCACATGCAATGTCATTTCTTTTATTCTAATCACTTTCATCGATTCAATAGTTATGTCCTTTTTTTATGGTTTGGTGCTTTCCTCCCAGGTTCTGCTAATTGAATTCTAGAAAATGAAAAGTCCCCACTATGTAAATGTGTGAAACTCCACGAACTCTAATCTTCTCAGTAATGATGTTATTTCACTAGAAGAGTTTTGATTGGTGAGCTTCATTCAGTTGTAATCCTGTGGCCTTGTACCTGGTTCTCACTCCACTGCTGCTAAATTACATTTCATTGACTTAACAGTCTTCGCTGTTCTCCGGCTTCACTGATTTTAATAGATTATTTTTTCATGTCACAAAAACAAAACAAGGAGACAGGATTACCATACGTTGTTGTCTTCTGTCTTCTTGCCAGGGTGAATGGGAAACTGGTAGCTCTGAAGGTGATTCGTCTGCAAGAGGAGGAAGGGACGCCCTTCACGGCCATACGAGAAGGTAAGAGGTGCAGGAGTGTTACTCTGCTCAAATGAGTTGAGTTCAAGGAGTTCAATTTTCTTGTCAAATTTGTTACTTTGAAAGTACAAATAAACTCCTTGGCAACTATCTGAAATGTGAAGACAATGAGTAAGTGCTTTAAACTTGCAAACCCTTTCGCAGTGTGTTTTCAGTTAAACAAAACAAAACAAGATGGCGACAGACAATAAACAAGATGGTCAAAATGCCGAGCTCACAAATGGTAGTCCACAAACCAGTGTGGGATGTCACAGTGATTACATCCGCTTCCTATATAGTCAATTATTGTATCAAAGCAAAATATTGCTTGAGCAAGACTCTTAAGTGGAGCTGGTCTACAGAACTTCCTGTGGTTGTACTGTGAAGCCTGCCATAGTAATATAAGATGCTGATATCCATGTCACTATTCAAGATGTGAAAAAGTGGCCACCTCAATAATTCATAGTAAGGTCAGTAATAATCTAATATTTAGATATATAATATTTACCAGTTGTCTTTTTATATGCATAACGGCAGCACAGAGCATGTCCTGCCTCTGTGTGTACTGTCAGTCGTGTATGTGAAGCACTTGAGGCTCTTTACTTTACTGGCTGATGGACTTTAAGAAGAAACACACTCACCGCCACACACACATGACTGCCATTTGAATTTAGATGAGAAAACGATTGTCTGTTTGATCTGTGTATAATCCAGGCCTGATAAAGTGAGAGTCATCCCGGCCTCCATACACAAACACACAGACACACACAGTCCAAACTCTCCCTGTGAGCGGATCAGAAAGCCGCTTTGAAATTGAACTAATTCAGCAATTACTGAGCAGGAAGCTCCGAGCGCTGGCATGTGAGCAGCATTACAGACTGCTGCTGAATAAAGTAATATATCCAGAGAACAGGAGAGCTGTGTGTGTGTGTGTCCGTGCTTATTAAAACTGCACACACTCGTGCCCATTACTAGAGATATGGTGGGTGTATGAGTACAAGGGAGGGGTTTGGATCTTCAAACGGGTGACAGGATCTTTGAGGTACTGTAGCGCTAACCTCCTGCTTACTGCCATATCAGATTTTCTCAACAACCTTTAGGTAGTCATACAGGATGAATGCATTCATGAGGCCCCATCACTCGCCGGCTCTCTGAGGATCTGTTTCAATGTGCCCTTGGAAAATAACTTTGTGTTTGCTAAATTAATCACATTGGCAACTTTGTGAAAATCCCATTCCTGCCTCGTAATAAAAACTGCACCCATTAAGTTTCTCTCATTCTGCCCTAATGGAACTGTTCCCTGTATTTACCTTTATTGTGGGTGGAGGACACATTCTGTCATCTGTTAGTTTGCCTGCAAATTTGGTTCTGTAATGACCACAGAGAGCTTTGCAGCTTTCCTTGGCGACAGACAACTTTTCAAGTGGTGACATTGTTGGTGCCGCTGTCGCACACACTACGTGATAACAGAACAGCTTCATAGATGCTCATTTTAGAAAGGCCACCGAAAGAAAACGTGTTCTTTCTTTCTGTTATAAAGTGGACGGTGAATCACAGATTAGCGTTAGTGTTAGCTAGCAGAGCTAGCAATATGGTGCTTTCGCTAACAGCCACAAGCCAATATACAGTCCCTGACAAAAGTCTTGTTGCTTGGGTAAAAGTTGACCTTAAGTGCCCCTCAAATATATTTGTAATCAATTTTTTTTTACAAGAAATGGCTAATTTCAATCCCAACAGCTTTTGAAATAATGTTTTGGTGCCAAACGAAACTGCTGAAAAGCATTCTAACGTTCACAGCTTGGTAAAGCCCACTGAGTCAGTTTTTGCAAAGACAAAAGTCTTGTCGCCTTGTCATATGATACACCCAATCCTAGATTACAGCCTCACCTGTGATCAATAATTGATCAATCAATTAGTGGGTGTGTATAAAAAGAACCCCAGCACACCAGACCTTCACATCAACTGCAACTTGACCTCTGACAACATGCCTAAGATTCACCCTGAGACCAAAGCGTTGATTATCAAGAGGCTGAAGACCAGATCCACTGCTGAGGTGGCTGACACCTTCAATGTGTCTCAGTGTCAAGTACAAAGAATAAGAAAAAGATTTGAAGAGACTGGAGATGTTTTTGACAAGCCCAGGTCCGGCAGACCCCGCAAGACAACTGCTCGGGAGGACCGTTTGTTGGCTCGAAAATCCAAGGCCAGCCCCTTTTCCACTGCAGCAGAGCTCCACCAGGCCTGGTCACCTCAAGTCCCCGTGTCAACCAGGACAGTTTGTAGAATTCTGTCTCAAAATGGCCTCCATGGTCGAATCAGTGCCCAGAAACCAGCACTAAACAAAAGGCAATTAAAAAAACGTGTGGCATTTGCCAAGGCCCACGGCCTGCTAAAAGGATGGACGCTGGAAAAGTGGCAGAAGGTGGATTTCTCAGATGAATCTTCGGTTGAATTACATCACAGCCGCCGCAAATATTGCAGGAGACCTACTGGAGCCCGCATGGATCCGAGATTCACCCAGAAAACAGTTAAGTTTGGTGGCGTAAAAATCATGGTCTGGGGTTACATCCAGTATGGGGGTGTGCGAGAGATTTGAAGGGTGGAAGGCAATATCAATAGCCTAAAATATCAAGAAGTATTAGCTACCTCTTACATTCCCAACCATAAAAGGGGTCAAATTTTGCAGCAGGATGGTGCTCCATCGCATACTTCCATCTCTACATCAAAGTTCCTCAAGGCGAAGAAGATCAAGGTGCTCCAGGACTGGCCAGCCCAGTCACCAGACATGAACATCATTGAGCATGTCTGATGTAGAATGAAAGAGGAAGCATGGAAGACGAAACCAAAGAATCTTGATGAACTCTGGGAGGCATGTAAGACTGCTTTCTTTGCTATTCCTGATGACTTCATCAATAAATTGTATGAATCATTGTCGAACCGCATGGATGCAGTCCTTCAAGCTCATGGAAGTCATACAATATATTAAATATGGATCTCACAGCACCACTACTTAATTCACTGATGTTATGCAACATATTTTTGTATTTGAAGTAAATTATTTGTTCAATTTTCACATTACTCTCTGTAGGCGACAAAACTTTTGTCTTGCCAAAATCTGACCTTTCTGTGTTCATTAAATGATCAATCTTTCTTCAGTGAAGCAAATTTATTTTAGTATATTAAACATAATTTGGGAGGGTTTTAGCTTTCATATGAGCCATTTCTAAAACCAATGGATTAATTAAAAGTCAGGTTATAAGCTGTTGTTTCTACAAAATGGATAAGTGACAAGACTTTTGTTAGGGACTGTAGATGTTTGTGTGGATGTTTCTTTCTGTTTGTGTGTTTCCTAAATTGAAGTGAACTTCTATGAAACATAATGATATAGAATTGTAATAAAAAGGGACATGATTTCTACAAAAACAGAAGTCCCTGCCATTCTAATGTAAATATCCACAGTGTATTAGCAGCTCAAGTATTTTCAAATCCAAATCGTCACAAGGCCAAGGATTGAGGTTTTGGTTTAATGGCAACTGACTGCAGCTCTCAAATGTCTCTTGGTTTGGGGTTCTAACAGTAAAGCCTTTGTAAGAAACTGAATAGTCAAGTCACAGGTCATTACGTTTTACATGAGTTGGGCCAAATCCCTCAAATGTGTAGGCCTGGTAATAAAACATTCAAGTCTTTCAACTCTCAAGTCAAGGTTTTTAGCTGTGTAGAAGTTTCTCACGCAAATCTGACCCTCGCAAATTCTGTTAACCTTTGCTTTTGTATATCTTTACCTATTATTTGCAAAATCCTCCCTGTTCTCAATCTTTGACTCAGATGAAGCAAATCTCATGTGAATGTCTTAATACATCTGAGCCAGAATGTGCTGATCATACCAAGCCTCCCCAGTAAGACACTCTAAGCTTTGCCGGTAATGTAACCATCTCCCCAACACATCATCTCACTGCTCCACTCATTACCAATGTCCATTGCATCATAAATTTGTTGACAAATGAGTTTGAGCTGTAATCCACCCTGTGTTATCTTTCTCTGTTTGGATCGTTTCTTAATCCCCTCTAACTATGTAGCGAGGCGTACGGAGGGGCCGCGTTGCATTCTAATGATGCAGCTAATGAAGGATACAGATAACAGCAGTTCCTCTGGTATCTCAATATGTGCCTCACATTAACTCTCTGTCTGTTCCTTCTCTGCAGCATCTCTTCTGAAAGGCCTGAAGCATTCCAACATTGTGCTCCTCCATGACATCATCCACACCAAGGAAACCCTGACTCTGGTCTTCGAATATGTGGTGAGTCTGCACGTTGCCGCACTGAGATCACCCACTCGGACCCTTTATGGGTGGACAGTAGCGGTCTGAAATGAGGTTTGTTCTAAATGAAGGGAACAGGGGTCAAGGCTCGTGTCGTGGTCGTTTTGACCTCGTTGTCTGATCTCTGATTGAATTTCAGTTTTTAATACTCTGCCCACAGAAAGATGAGCAGTGGGTATTTTCACTGGCATACTGCACTTGAAGAATGATATAACAGTCTGAGCTTATTCCACCATAGGATGGAAGTGAGATGCAGTACAGCTCAATACAGGAAACCAGACAGACATTTTAATGGAAGGTTACTGTTTTACAGCAAAGTATTATTTTCTATGGACTTACTTATGGCTTATAGGAAAGCTTCCTACTAGAACATACTGTTGACAGCAGTTTAGAGACGGTAACAACTAAAATATACCAGGGATAGAGGTGGCCACTACTGGAGCTAATCAAGCTATGTTTGACACTTAAAGGTGTATTTGTAATTTGATGAGTGTCAGAAGCACAATCAAATACTGGTCCTCAGTTTAGTTTAAAGACCGACCCGTAACTGGGGTTTTTAAATGGAAACGCTCACTCAGCCGTCATCAAGAGCAGCGACGTAGGTTACCAAAGCAAGCTAATCAATAATATGAATGCCAGCAGTAGCTCAGTTAACATTAGCTGTGCTAAGTTTGAAAATAACTTTAAGAGTAAGTTCGGAAAGAGATGATATGTATATATTTTGTTTATATAACTGTATTTTGTGAGGTAACATTTCTGGTTCTGTCAATGGAGTCATGTGGCTTTGAAGAGAGCTATAGAACTTCTTCAGTTCAGAAAAGGCTATCTGATGGCGAGGTGAAGCATCTGTGGAAGCAGCAGAAAAATGTGTTAAAGCAAAACAAAACAAAAAAACTGGCCCTCCTATATTCAGTGATATTCTTTTATATTTGATGTGTAATATTTTTACCTTGAACCCAGTTCCTCCATTTCAGAAACATTTGGGTTTGTCTGTAGTCTTTGATGATAGCACTAGTCCATATTGTTCTAGCAAGCAAAAAGCAGTATGAAACTTTTTCAAATGTCGTGAAAACTGCATATGACTTTTTTTTATTCTCTTGAGCTGAAGAGTCTTTCAAAATCCTGTCCAAATCCCTTAAAGTCAGAACAATAATACTGAATTGTTGGCCAGGCCCAGGGGCAGAACATCTTCATCAGACTATCTCTACTAGATATTAAAACACACTTTTCAGCTCAGCCCCTTTCCCCTTTAAGGAAAGGGGCGTAACCCTGGTGACAGGGGGGGTTAAAGGGTGGCAGGAAGTGAATGTGAAGACATGTTTGTATGGATGGAAATAAACGGCCACAAGTAAATGGTTTCTCTCCACGCTCCTACATTGGTGACCCTGACACTCCTGGACGTTTCCAGAAGAAAGGATGTCGACGCACGCAGTTTCGCAGAAACTGCCGGAGTTTTGGGAGACGCAAGCGGCGGTGTGGTTCGCTCAAACTGAGGCGCAGTTCGCACTCAGAGACATTACAGCGGACGCGACAAGATATTATTATGTTGTGGCGGCTCTCGGCAGTTCGACAACAGGCAGAGTGGTGAGCATTCTTGAAAATCCTCCAGAGAGGGACAAGTACGATACCTTGAAAGACCGGCTGTTGAACATTTTCGGGCTTTCGGACTCTGAGCGGGCTCGCCAGTTGCTTGCTCTGAATGGCCTCGGCGACAGCAAGCCGTCGGAGCTAATGGGACTTTGTTACTGCCAAAATTGCCATTCCCCTGCTTGGCGCGGATTTCCTATGCGCTTATGGACTATTGGTGGACGTCAAGGGCCACCGCCTGATAAATGCTGTGACTTTTTATTCTTACCCATGTACATTAAGTGGCTCCTACAGTACGACTAAAAAGAGTCAGTACCTCAGCTTTTTGGACAGCAGTGATAGCTGTGAAACTACAAGGTTCAGAATAGTTCAGATCCTCTGGATCCCTTTGCATATGGATCTGCTGACAACCATTGATGGTCACATTGATATTCAGCTCAATCTTTGATCTTCAAATGCTGAGTGAGGCCAAATCTCTCAACCAGAACAAGCTTACTCAGCCTTCCACTGCTTGTTCGTTTTAATGAGACTGAAAACGGTGAGATGCCCCCTTTTGGTGGATAGAACGCTCGTCAAAGGGTCGGCTTCTCAAGGACGTTTGGTGAGACGTGATTCGAGCTCAGCAAGTCATGTTTGAACTAGAAAATGCATTTCCTGCTGAAAATGCGTTGGAATGCTGAAAGCTGAAATGAATTGCATAAACATTGCTGAAAATAGATATCCAATTTAAAAAAAATTGCAAAAAGCTTAGTAATTCAAAAAGTTTAAAGATTACAAATATGAAAAGTCATATCACTCCTCTCCTGAAAGAGCTGAACATTTTGATATTAAAATGGTTTCTGTGGCTTAAAAAATTTCATCAGTGGTGATAGTTGTAGAAGTATTATTAGTAGAAGTATTGGTAGCATTAGAATAAGTACTAGTTGTTGTAGCAGTAGTGATATTTGTAGTAGAAGTATTATTAGTAGTAGAAGTATTAGTAATTAGAAGAGGTAGTATCAGTAGTCATAGTAATAGCTGTAGTATTGGTCGTAGTATTTAATGTAACAGTAGTAGTAGTACTAGTAGCAGTCGTACTAATAGCTGTAGTAGTATTACTACTTTTAGTAGCATGAATAGCAGTAGTAGCAGTTGTAGTATAAGTAATAGCAGTAGTGGTAGTAATAATATTGATGATAGCAGTAGTAGTAATAGTAGCAACAGCAAAAGTTATAGTAGTAGTAGTATTACTATATTAGCAGCAGCAGTAGTAGTTGTCGCAGTATTAGTAAGAGCATTCATTTTGTTTAACAAAAAAAGCCTAATTTTGAGCTTGTTTAAATACAGTTAAACCATGGGGCTTTCATTTTGAAAGGGTGGGGCTGGGGGGTGGAGAGGAGACATAATCATAATGTTTGACACACATAAACAGAGGTTATTAAATGCCAGGCTTCATCACAAGCATTTCAGTTAGAATTCACTCTATTGTGTGCGTGTGTGTGTGTGTGTGTGTGTGGTCCTCTAAAAGTCTCCAAGACCTGAATGACTGTATGAGAGACACAGAGAGAGAGAGAGGAGTGTATGTGCCAGTGCCTCTCTGTGTTTATCAACATCACTAATTAGCTTAATCAGAAACACCTGTGTCCTTGCAGCCTTTTCATGGAGATAAAACAGGAAAACACCTCTCAAACAAATCCTCAAAACTCCCATAACCGTAGCTCCTATTGCTCCGATATTAATAATTGAGAGGAAGGATGAGTTGAAGAACAGATCCTGTAAAAATTGTGTCTGTAGTGTAAAAAATGTGGCTGAACTGGCGATCTAGAAATGGGGTTCTGTGGAAGATGTTTTTGAAGCAAAATTTAACATTGGTCTCTATGGAGCAGAAAGTTGGTTTTCCTCTCAATTACAGGCTTCTGTGCCAAATGTGTAAATCTGTGGGATTCCACAGTCATTTGTCTACGACAAGGACAAGATTAGCTACTTTTAAATCCAGAAATTATGCATGAAGAGTGAAGATTGTGGACACAGTAGCAAAACACAAATGGTTTTTTTCACAAGAATCTCAAGCTGCTCTTCACTCTAGCGGTGACATCACGCACTCTAAGCTGCGCAATACACACCCATTATAAAGTCAGAAAAGGACTGAAAAAATCATAAAAGTTAAATTGCTGCAGTTCAGAAAGTGTAAAAGATATAAAAATGCTGAATAATGTGGCAATAGATCAGGGTTTTCTCAACATTTTAAAGTTGAAATGGTGTCTGTAGCTGAAAATATGAGGAAGTTGAAGAGGATTTGAACATTTTCTCCATTGAAATCCCATTCAAAATAAAAATTGCAAAAAGCTTAATAATTCATGAAGCATAAGAGATAGAAATATGAAAAGTCATAGCATAAATGTCATTAAAGAGCTGAACATTTTGATAGTTGAACGGTTTCTGTAGCTTAAAATATGAAGGAGCAGAAGAGGTGGGACGGAAGAAATATAATAACTATAAAATGCATTTCCTGCTGAAAATGTGTTGGAATGCTGAAAGCTGAAATTAATTGTCAAAAGATTGCTGAAAATTAAGAAATGGGAGACTACCCATCTGAAAAATGTTGAAGCTTGAAAGCATTTAAACTGCACTGCTGAAAACCCTTCTAGTTGAAATGTCTCACTTTGGTGTCTGTAGCTGAAAGTATGAAGAAGGCTTTGAAAGTTGAAGAAGTTTAACAGGATTTGAAGATTTTCTCCATAGAGATCCCATTCAAAAGAAAATTGCAAAAAGCTTAATTCAAAAAGTTGAAAGATTACAAATATGTAAAGTCATATCACCCTCTCCTGAAAGAGCTGAACATTTTGATATTCGAATGGTTTCTGTAGCTTAAGAAAATTTCAGCGTTAGTGATATTTGTTGTAGTAGAAGTATTATTAGCAGTAGAAGTATTAGTAGCATTTGAATAAGTACTAGTTGTAGCAGTAGTGATATTTGTAGTTGAAGTATTAGTAATTAGAAGAAGTAGTAGTAGTATCAGTAGTCGTAGTAATAGTAGTGGTCGTAGTATTTAATATAACAGTAGTAGAAGAAGTAGTAGTGGTAGTAGTAGTAGTACTAGTAGCAGTCATACTAATAGCTGTAGTAGTATTAGTACTGGTAGTAGCAGGAATAGCAGCAGTAGTAGCAGTTGTGGTATATGTAATAATAGTAGCGGTAGTAATATCAGTAGTGGTAGTAATAATATTGATGGTATCAGTAATAGTAGTAGTAGCAACAGCAAAAGTTGCAGTAGTAGTAGTAGTAGTGATACCAGAAATATTAGTAGCAGTAGTGGTAGTAGTTGTCGCAGTATTAGTAAGAGCATTCATTATTTCAACAAAAAAGCCTAATTTTGAGCTTAACGTTTAAATACAGTTAATCCATGAGGCTTTTATTTTGAAAGGGTGGGACTGGGTGGGGGAGAGAGGGAGAGAGGAGACATAATCTTAATGTTTGACACACATAAACAGAGTTTATTAAATGACAGGCTTCATCACAAGCATTTAAGTTAGAATTCATTTTGTGGGGCCTTTACTTTAAAGTGGGGGGGGGGGGGGAGTCCTCTTAAAATATCTAAGACCTGAATGACTGTATGAGAGAGAGACACAGAGGGAGAGAGAGAGGGTGAGTGAGTGTGTGTGAGAGAGAGAGAGACTCTAATCTCTCTGGCAATCTTTCTCATTTGGAGATTGTCCTGTTTTATCATTTACAGCTTACATGACTATTGTCCTGCTCTGCCATGTCTTTCCTCGTCTCTCCCTCTTGTGTCACGGTGTGTGTTAATGTCACTCGAATCAGGAAACTTATCAGAATACCCATATTTGATTGGCTGAGCTGCATCACGGATATCTCTAAATCATGTGTGTGCGGCTTTTATTTTAAAATGGGGGGGGGGGTCCTCTAAAAGTCTCTAAGACCTGAATGACTGTATGAGAGAGAGGGAGAGATAGAGGAGCGCGTGTGTGTCTGTGTGTTTATCAACATCACTAATTAGCTTGATCAGAAACACCTGTGTCCTTGCAGCCTTTTCATGGAGATAAAACAGGGAAACACCTCTCAAACAAATCCTCAAAACTCCCATAACTGTAATTCCTATTGCTCCGATATTAATAAATGAGAGGAAGGATGAGTTGAAGAACAGATCCTGTAAAAATTGTGTCTGTAGTGTAAAAAATGTGGCTGAACTGGCGATCTAGAAATGGGGTACCGTGTTCTGTGGAAGATGTTTTTGAAGCAAAATTTAACATTGGTCTCTATGGAGCAGAAAGTTGGTTTTCCTCTCAATTACAGGCTTCTGTGCCAAATGTGTAAATCTGTGGGATTCCACAGTCATTTGTCTACGACAAGGACAAGATTAGCCACTTCTACGTCCAGAAATTATGCATGAAGAGTGAAGATTGTGGACACAGTGGCAAAATACAAATGTTTTTTTCACAAGAATCTCAAGCTGCTCTTCACTCTAGCGGTGACATCACGCACTCTAAGCTGCGCAATACACTCCCATTATAAAGTCAGAAAAGGACTGAAAAAATCATAAAAGTTAAAATGGGACAGTTCAAAAAGTATAAAAGATATCAAAAAGCTGAATAATGTGGCAATAGATCAGGGTTTTCTCAACATTTTAAAGTTGAAATGGTGTCTGTAGCTGAAAATATGAGGAAGTAGAAGGATTTGAAAGTTGAAGAGGATTTGAACATTTTCTCCATAGAAACCCATTGCTTAACAGCATTCCAACAATAAATAATGAGAGCAGAGGTAGGAGGTCAGTTAACCCTCCTCATAAGATCCTCCCTGGTTATTCATGTCATTGACTTTTTTTCAATTTTGATGCAACACAATTATTTGAATGTGAGGAATTACTTGCTTTTCCATTCATGAATTCAGCCTCGTGGCAAATGGTGTTCATGTCACCAAAAAGTTTAATTCCAAGTTGTGCAAATGTGGTACTACTGGTTCCATGTTGATTCATCATCATGTGTTCAGAGCTGTAATCAGTCCGAGCTGTTTTCCATACAGAGGGCATTCCGACCACAAACATCATTTCATTGTTTGCCTCTCAACACTAATGATGATTGACAGGGTGAGGGTGAAATACACAGAGAATTGTGTGGGGAAAGACAACAGTGAAATGTATTACTGAGAGGTAAAGGAGAAAGTGGGATGGACAGGCGTGTCCATGCTGGAGCATCCGTCTGAATTATTCAGCAGAGGAGGCTCCGATGATGCCGGCAGCAGTAGGAGATATTTGAGATTTTAAATTCCAGTGTGTTTTCAGAGCTACCGCTCCTCCGTCCTCAATATGCTAACTAAACACAGAGGTGAAGGGCAGGCCAGTGTAGCAATGCATGGATGGGGTCATATGAGTCAGTAGATGGAGGGGTGGCTTCTAGAGAAGCTCAGATTTTTTTAACCAATCACCTCATGTCTGAACACCACTATAAAATAAACCACATCAACCTTTAGGAGCATCATGAGGAACCCTGGGTGGGTTCTAGATGAAGCCCTTAGGAAAATATAAAGGACTTCCTGGTAGAAGCCTTTTTATAAAAATAAGTTTAATGAAAATAAATAACATTTATTTTTACAATCAACCAAATGATGGTGGAAAGGTTCTCTAGAGAGGGTTCTGGGTGGAACCATTACACCGTAGAGGGGTTTTCTTATACCCTAGTGGATTCTGGTTGGAACCTTTTACAGATGGGTTTAGGTATAACACTTTATGTTGGCCTCTAAGTAGAACCCACTGAAAAAGTTCCAGGTGGAACTGTTTCAAAAATATTCTATCGGAACCCAAAAAGGGTTCTCTGTGGTTACAAGCAGAGGAACCCTATGTGATTTAAATTAGCACCTTTATATCTTTATTTGTAATCTTACCTCCCCTGTAGAGTGGAAGCTATATCATCATTTACTTGCCAAACATTTTAAGCTTAAAAAAAACTCCTAAGTTCAATATTGTTGCATGTGAGAGAGGGACCCAACATTGTGATCGGCTTATATAAATAAGTGGTGGACACTAGTCTGCTCTGCATGTTTAACAATAGGCTATTCAAATAAATAAATGCATTACATCAATAACCACCTATTTAGTCTTTCTGCTAGTAGATAGCTAGCCAGCAAGCTATCTACTAGCAGAAAGACAGAAAGTCATGTTGGTTAAACTCTTGATTAACTACTATTCATAAGTTTCAACTCTGTGTGGACCACTGTCTACCCTTCTGACAGTGAGAGTCATTTAGAAAAACACTATTGACATGTGCTTTTGTATGCCGTGTCCAACCAGCAGATGCACTGATATGCTTCGGTACTTTTGAAGTTCCTCATGTCGGAGCCATCTATGCCAAGAGACACTACAAAGTAAATCAAAATGTCCTCACATGTGGTTTCAGGCCATGTCCCTGTGTAGTCCTCTCAGTCACTGATGGCTGATCGATGCACTAACGTTACTGTAAAATCATCCGCAGTGTAGCTGCTGAATGTTCACAAATATCATTCACTGTTTACAACACTACTAACGATAAACAGGAGGAACTACTAATTTGTGTTCAAACCAGGAGTAAAAAAAATGGCTGAGGCAGCATTGGGTGCATGAAGACAAAAGTATGTAGACAGACATGTCCGCAAAGAGCAGTTGATTTTTGGAAATATTCCCTAGAGATGTCGAATTATGGATTTATCCGCCTCGCATTTAATAGAATTGACATCCAACCACAGTAGCATTCGGTATTCTCAGACTTATCTGTCACAAGCTTCTAGACTCTTTCATGTTGCAGTATTAATATTATGCTTTCTTGCTTTTATTTCACAGCACACAGACCTGTGTCAGTACATGGACAAACACCCTGGAGGTCTCCATCCAGACAATGTGAAGGTACAGTATATTATTCTGGTCCCAAGACATGTAGTTTAATGAGCACACTATTTAAAATGCTAATAAGGTGTGGATGGAAAAAGCAGAAGCAATGTTTCCACCAGGAACAGATCAGGAGGACGACATAACAAGAAACAAGTACAGTGTAACCTTGAAACCATGAATAGAGTCATGTAAGCTAATATTTTAGCAGTCCTTCTGATCTGGTCTCCTCTAGTCCATATCAACCCACGGGGCAAGATTACATTGCAGGGTTGTACAAAATTAAATTGTTTTTGTTTTTCTGTGAAATATATCAGATAGTTTGACCTCTTCAGGCCGAAAACTGATTCAATAAAACAATCTCTGAGGAGAAAATAGCTGCTCACAGCTCAAAGTGTGACAAGGTATGACTTCATCTCAGAGGGCCACAAACCCAAATGTTTGGTCCCTTGTGGTCCAGTTGTTTAGACCATTTAGCTGTTCAGTGCGTTCTACATTTTGATGGCTCCTTTCTTATTGGCTGTTCATTGGCTGTGCATTGGTTTCCTTTCCGTCTCTGAGGAAACTTTGTACAACAAACCAGAGCAGAGACCAGAACAATGTGATTGCAGCATTAATAATATGAGCATTTGTGACTTAATTTACTGTGATGATGTGGTAACAAGCTAGCAGGACAAAAACTATCATAGTATTATAAGCATACATTATGTGATGCTGATTTAAAAATAAGAATACTGAGCTGAGTGTGTTGTCTCTCCACCACACATTTAAGCTGCATGAGTCTGATCTCACTTTAGCACAACTGTATCTGTTAAAGCAAGACACTAAAGACAAAGACATTGCTACCATAGTATATCTTCTTTCAGACTAGAGGCAAGACAATGTCTAAAACACGCATGTATTTGTCACTCTTTTCATCTGTAGATGTCTCCAAAATTCTTAAATGTCTCAATGTAAGTAATTAACTGGATCTGTTTCATTGTGATATCTATTATATCTGTAGTGTCTCCCTTTCAGTTCACACTGAGATCATCAGCCTCCACAAACATTTCTAGCATCAGCCTCATATATTTTGTAATATTTGTAGTTTTGTAGTTTGGGACTTAAACAATAATTTAGATTCATCTTGTAAAACAAACAAATATTCTGCTGTAGCTACTCAACAGTGCTGCAGTTCAGCATAATGTCACAACAATACACCAGACTAGAAAATCTAAACATTAAACAGAAGGCCATTTTAAGTCAAAGTAGATAGCCCATGAAAACATTAAAGAACATAATGGAACAGAAAATATTGTGGCCTGGCTACACAGAGATGAACCCGTTCAGATCTCCAACCCTTTTCCAATGGACGTGCCTTTTCTAGGATGTCTGAGATCTGTGATTGCTGTCATTTGACTCCACCCATATGCACAAACCTACTTGATTAGATGTCTTTAAACCAACCGCAGTGTTCCACATCATCTACAGTGGACTGCAGGTAGAGCCACACCTGCTTCTTCAGAAAGATGGCCGTCTGAGTGGTGTAAGGCACATTTCAACCTTTTAATCATTTTGTCCATAATTTTCCTTTAATGTATGTTTAAAGTAAACATGAGATGTTATTATACGTATACATGTCAAATTATCGTATGAAAGATTTGTAGTTTTTAGTCAGGATTTTTTTCAAAAACATCCGTCCATTTGACCTGTCAGGGAGTCACAGAAAGGGAAATTAATAGGGACTGTTCTGAAGTGACTTCCTACCGATGCGATCATCTTAGAATGCATCCTATGGATTATGTACACAGAATATTCAACTCAAGAGGCTTTAAACATATTCTATTCTATAGATACTTCGGAAATCCATGATATTCTGAGTGGTGACGACAAGGCTGATGCGAAATGCAGTGTCCTGCTGATTGTATTTGGACTTACATGAAAGTTAACAAAACAGTAGTGCCATTTGCTGTTACTTGAACACTTTAATTTAACACTGTTTTCATTTTAAGTTCGTCTGTAACTTTAGATTGTAGTGTGAAGCATTCATGGTAATGTTTAACCTGATTGTCATGAAGTAGCTCTGGACAGATCATTTATACTAATGCCCACTGACGTGGTTTGAAAATCCACTGTTATCTAACTTTTGCTCTCCAAGGATCTTAGTTTGCACATATAGATCAGAGAAGTCTTTTTCTCATGGTGTGCCCACAAACCCTTTCAATAAGTTCAGTGTTTGGGCCGCTGTAATTATAGAATCATGCTTACATCCACGCTTATCAGTAGGTGGAGCTATGACTATGAGTTAATATTGGCATGCAGAAGTCCTAAAGCCAAGACGGTCAACAAGCATGTCAAGTTTGGGACAGTTTTGACAAAGTACAGTCGAGTTACAACAGCTTGATGGATGATGGCGAACCATGTAAAATGGCCATCACACCACATCCATGTTGTTCGACGAAACCTCAAGCTTTTAGTAACTTTTAATCGCTAAGGTCTTTAGATTGTTCTGACCAAATTTTAAGCTGATCGGATTAATTCCCTAGGAGTTCGTAGTACAGCACCTGGAAATGGAAAAAAAAATCGCCACGGCAACGGCGTTCGACGAAACATCAAAAGCTTCATGAACTGGCATTATGAACTTCTTATATTTGTGTGGAACTAATTTGATATTGATTTGATTTACCTACTAAGAGAAACAAGCCAAAGTATAAAGACTTTAACTTCCTGTTACCAGTAGGTGGCGCTATGACTATGATTCAAAATTGGCCTGCAGATGTCTTCAGGCCTGGAGTCTAATCAAACATGTGAAATCTGGTAAAGATCTGATGATGTGGAGTCGAGTTGCATCAGTTTATTCGTTCATGGCGAAGGATCGAAATTCGCTGAGCCGCCACGTCGCCGCCCTTCAACAACTTCTTACAATCTTCACAATGAAGCATTATCAAGGTCTTAAGGCTGTTCTGACAACATTTTAGAGGGATCTGATTAATCTGTGAGGAGCAGGATGTCAAAGTACACAACTTACAACTTCCAGTTGCCACTAGGTGGCGCTATTACTATGATTCTAAGTTATCATATAGATGTGTTCCGGGTCAGGATGTTATGACATATGAGAGATTTGGAGCAGATTCGACAATGTACGGCCGAGTTACAACAACTTCCTGTTTCGCGGCGAATGGTGTTTTTTTGACCCCACGCCACGGACACATAGTTCGATAACTTTTTGATCTTTGAGTAACTTTTCACTGCCAAGGTCTCAAGAGCATACTGACCAAATCTGAAGTTGATCGGGTTAAATCTCTAGGAGAAGTTCGTTAAAGTATGACGCCTTGAAACGGTCCAAAAACGTCATAGAATTAAAAATGGCCGACTTCCTGTTTGGTTTAGAGAAAAATTCCAAGAGGATTTTTTGTACGTCCCATCATGATCCACATACCTACCAAATTTCAGACAGCTAGGTGAAACCCGATGTTGTGGCTACTCAATAGGGGGCGCTATCGAGCCAATATTTCATACCGCAGCTGGACACCCCAATCAGACTGCAATTTTCGCAAATTCTGGCTTGCGTGCCAAATTTCACAAAATTCCCAGTATCCCAAGCACCTCCTTTTTGCGATGAAAGCAGAAAAGTAATAATAAACATTAGAATAACAATAGGTCCTCCGCTCCGACTACGTCGGTGCTCGGGCCCTAATAATAAACATTAGAATAACAATAGGTCCTCCGCTCTGACTACGTTGGTGCTCGGGCCCTAATAAACAATCGAATAACAATAGGTCCTCCGCTCCGACTACGTCGGTGCTCAGGCCCTAATTAAGGATTATTCCGAGGTGTTGCTTGGCACCCGCTGACTTTGTGGCTTTTTGGTGAGACGACTGAGCTGTGCTTTCTAATCTGTTGATAAGGCTCATGGCCCTGTTCCTGTGCAGTCATATAACAGAGGCTACACGGGAACTACTCAGCATGAAAACAATGGTTTTAATAATCTGCCACACTGAGGATGGCACCTCTTTTCTTTTGGTATTGTCAAGGAAAGGCAGTAACATTAAAGCTAGGGTGGGTAATGCATTTTGTATGCATTTACATTGTCTTTACATACTGACAGCAATCAACAAATCAAATGATCTACAAAAAAAAGGAAAAGTGACAGCCAGTGACAGCCACAGGGCTGTCACTGGACTTGTGAGGCGGTCCAATCAATTAATTTGGAATTAAATGATATTTAACAAGGTATATAAGGATATTTTAAGTTTATTACTTATTCTTAGCTTCAACTATAAATTTCCCTTTTTGGTCCCAATAGCCATACAGACCTCATTGCTTGATACAACACTTGATTAGCATTTCTTAATTTCCATGCAATGGGTCAAATTGACCCCTGTAAATTTAATTCAGAAAATATAACTTTTAACCAAATATATCATCAAAAACACTGTGAACATTTGCAATCAGTATGTATTCTTCCAAGTTCCCTTTACTACACTTGCCTGCACTATTAGCCTTTACAAAAGTGAGATGACAATACTGATACCAGCATCATGTCCCTGCTTCTAGTAGAGAGCTAGAACATGTATTTTTTTAGCCGAGCTGGAATAAGTGAGAAACAGCTAGCCTGGCTCTGTCCATAGTGGAGAAGTGAAATCCTACAGATGCCTTCAAAACTAGTTCACACAATGAATCTGGTTTGCTTGAAACATTAACAGAAAGGTACTATTTGGACTTTGCATGCTGTAATTGTGTCTTGTATGCACAGTAACATTGAGGTGTCAATGTTGAGTGAGGTTGCCAGGTTTGGTATTACTATACTGAGCATAGACCAAAAAAAAACCTGTGCTCACTGACTGCATCTGGCAACATCTGGCCCTCTCGCTCGGAACATTGCAGAGAAGTGCAGTTCCAACACAAAACCACAAGTTACAGTTCAGATCAATCAAAAGAGATACAGATTGTTTTTAAGTTTTTACAGACACAAGATCCATATCAAATTGTGTTTTTTCTTTTTTGAAACGCTCATATCATCCATTTTGAGGATATCA